ATCCTGGCAGCCTTGGCTCGTACATTAGCTCCACTCCTTTCCTTCTTGATCCATTTGACCGCACTAGCTAGGGTCCCCATCATTCGTGGAATGCCAATCCATGCTTTCATCATAGCCCAAACTTTTCCTGAAAAAGGGCATTCAAAGTAGAGGTGTGGAACCGTTTCCGGTCCACCCTTGCACAATACACAAGTGTTATCCACATCTAATCTATGAAGATTATCACACGTGGCTAATCTGTTACGGAATGCCAACCAAGTAACAAAGGAAAACTTGGGAGGGATGTAATCTTTCCAAATAAACGGCATCCACACACGGGTGGCAGCCCTAGGCCTAAGCAAATCATAAACCTTGGAGGATACAAGCTTACCATTCATCTGAAAAGCATTTAAGCCAAGTATAGCACTCGGGATGTCCTGGAATTTGGAGAGTATTTCATCTCGGATTTGCGCAATCTTTTTAAACAATTGTGAGTCTCTTTCGTGTGGGACAAACTCCCACACACACCTACCCTTGAGATAAACCCCATGGACCCATTTGACCCAAAGTGTGTCCTTTTTAGTATGTATATCCCAAAAAGTTTTTGAAAGTAAAGCCTTATTCCAAACTTTCGTGTCATGTATGCCAAGTCCACCCTCTTCTTTAGGGAGGCAAATATCAGCCCAGGCAACCCTAGCGAATTTGCTTCCCCAAAGAAAAATGCGACAAATGGATGTAATCCTATCAAGAATAACATTAGGGATGGGAAACATGTGTAACCAAAAAGAGTGCACTCCCTGTATAACGGACTTTATCAGCTCAACTCTGCCTGCATAAGATAAAGACTTAGTACTCCAAGCATTAATGAAAGTAGTTATGGACTCCAAAAGTGGTGCATACTGGGCCACAGATAACCTTAAGGGTGCCAGGGGGACCCCTAGGTATTTGACCGGGAATGCACCAATTTTGAAATCCACCAGTTCTAGTATGGTGTCAAGCTCATAATATGCATTACCACCAAGGAAGATATTTGATTTATCATAGTTGACCCTAAGGCCAGATATGTTACCAAAATCTTCCAAGGCCTGTGTGAGAATCTGTATAGATGTGGTATCCCCTCTAGAAAAAAGCATCAAATCATCAGCATATGCCACCTGTGATATGTTAAGGGATCCACACAGGGGGTGATGGTTAAACATAGGATTTTTGGTCCTAATGTTCAACAATCTGGAAAAATATTCCAAGCAGAGGACAAATAAGAGGGGGGACATAGGATCCCCTTGCCGAAGCCCTCTCTTACCCTCAAAGTGGCCGTGGAGCACCCCATTAATAGATATGGAATAGGAAGGTGTGGTGACACACTCCATAATCCAATGTATAAATCTGCCCGGGAAGCCCAAATGGGTTAACATGGCAGCCAGGAAATCCCAGGATATAGTATCATAGGCTTTCCGGAGATCAACCTTTATCATACATCTAGGAGATGCACGTTTCCTAGAGTATCCCTTAATCAATTCTTGTGCAACGAAGACATTATCAATCATAAGTCTTCCATCAACAAACGCCCCTTGGGCGTGGTCAATGAGGTCCGGTAGACACGGGATCATCCTCTTAGAAATAATTTTGGTAATGACTTTGTAGACCACATTAGTGCAAACAATTGGTCTAAAGTCCGCCGGTGTGGGAGAGTGATTGGTCTTAGGTATTAAAGCAATAACCGTATGGTTAGTTTGCTTTAATAACCTACCAGACCCAAAGAAGCCCCTCACGGCTCTAGTAAAGTCAAAACCAACGGTGTTCCAATTTTTTTTAAAAAAACGCGGATGTGTAACCGTCCGGCCCCGGTGATTTGTTATCACCAATATCAAACAAGGCCTCTTTGATTTCCAAATCGGTGATAGGAGCAACCAAGCCAGGAGTGGCATTGGCGGGTAAACACCTACCCGAGGCCACCACAGAGGGGTCCAACCCGGAAGTGGGGTAGTAGGCACCAAACAAATTAGTATAAAAATTCACTAATTCCGTAGCAACTTGGTCAATAGAAGTGGTAGAAATCCCATTTTGGAGTTTTAAAGCCGTAATGGAATTTCTAGCCATATTCTTTTTCACAATAGCATGGAAATATTTAGTACATTTATCACTTTGAACAAGATGATTTGCCTTAGCCTTTTGCTTAAAAAAATCTTCTTCGGCTACTTTAAGGTTAAGAAGTTTTTTCTTGATCAAGGAGAGTTCTTCTTTTATAGTTTCATCCAACGGAGAGAGTATAGAGAGCCCGAGGAGCCTTTTATACTCTTTCTTGGAATCCTTAACTCTCTCGGAAATGTGGCCAAAATGGAGTTTATTAAGCTCTCTAAGTGGTCTTTTGAGGTCCTTCAATTTCTTGGCAAGAATGAATTGAGAGCTACCATAGACCTCTCTACCCCAATGGGTTGTGAGGATGGCATTGAATTTTTCATGATTCTGCCACATATTAAAAAATTTAAAAGGCCGAGAGGCAGCCCCATTACCTTTCCCAATGGAAACCATGGAGGCTACATGATCAGATTCAAGCTCAAAATCATGAAAATGTGTTTTGCACTCAATATCCAAAGTGGACCAAAATGAGTTAATGAGAACTCGATCTAGCTTAGCCCAAAGCGAACCCCTATTCCAAGTGAGGAATTGGCCCGTGGATGGACAATCAACAAGATTAGTTTGCAATCTAAAATCATTTAAATGTTGCATATCGTAGGCCGAGGGAGGGGAAGGACCCACCCTCTCATTCGGGCACCCAACACAATTAAAGTCTCCCATTACTAGCCACGGGCTATTAATGTTAGGCTCCAAGTTTGCTAAGTGATCCCAAAGGGCCTTTCTTTCAAGGACGGTGTAGAGAGCATACACAAACGTAACAAAATATTCTATTTGAGTAATCATACATTTAACACTACAATGCACATGTTGTTTATCAATTTCAAGTATATTAACATTAATAAAATGGGGGTCCCAAATTATGCCAATACGACCACCATCTATTTTGTCAAAATTAGTAGTAGATAGCCAAGAAGGAAATCTATTTGAACTAAATTTAACAAAATTAGTAGTAGTCATTTTGGTTTCAAGTAGGCAACACAAATGGATATTATTAGTACGTATAAACTTAAAGATAGAGTTTTGTTTGGAGACCTTATTGAGGCCTCTTATATTCCATGCGGACACAATCATCAAAACTTTTTGTTGGTATTCCTCCTCCCTCCTTTCTTCTCATAGGGTCTCGGCCTAGTCCCTTTTTTTTCCATCAAAGTCCTCGGCTTTGCTCTTGCTTTGTACCTAGTAAGATATAACAAAGTATAGGGATATTCAATAAACCAAGAGTTAAACACATACCCATACTCCGTATCAAAGACCCCCGGGATAGCCTCCAAGCATTTGGTTGTGAATGTGAGTCCCTCGGTAAGCTCATCTTGGGTGACTCTCAAGTAGTTATCAAGCCGCACCATTTGATCTTTAACATCATCGGAGTGTAGTAGGTGAATCAAAGGTAGATTATCTTTGCCAAGTTCAAGCTTAACAATGACATCATCACGGTATGCATCCCTAATATCATTCACCACACGTATTTTGTTAAAGTCTTTCATACTTGGTCGTTTCACAAGTGAGGCTTTTCCCCTCGGGCAGCCCTCTTCATAAAACCGGCACAAATAATGTCTAAAAACAGCCCTCATAAAGGAGGAGTCAAAGGTATATTCTTTGTCTCTTGTTGTTATTCCGGGAAGATCTTCAAGGCATTGTTTAGTGAAAAGCATTCCGGGTTGGTCTTCTTTTACCACCTTGAGATGATGGTCCATCTTGATAATAGTAGCCTCCTTATCTACATGCTTCTTGTGAGTAACATTAATATTAGGCATGAGTACCTCATCGGTTTCCATTTGAACTATCACCTCGTCTTGGTATGTGTCATGAAACTTTTGCACCTTTCGAATAAGAACATCTTCTCCATCTTTAAAGTCGGATGTGCCTCCCTCACCTCTTACGGGCTTCTTCTTTCCCCATTTAAAAAACCGGAATCTTTTAAAGAAAGGGTGATCTCTCTTAGTGACAAAAAGATCACTTTCTTCTTCAACTACCTCATTTGTGCTCACTGTTTTGGCAGCTTGTATCTCACCCTCGGCAGCCCCATCTTCCACACTCATGCCTATATTCTTTCTTATAGCATCTTCCTTAGCTTTCTTCTCAATTTCGGCAATAATGGTACAAGTAAAGGCATGGTGACCAAACTTTTTGCAATGGAAGCAATAGTTTGGAAAAGTTTCATACCTCACATATTGAGTGTGGAGTTTGCCATTTGGTAGCTTAATCTTGAGTTCTAGGGGTGGCGGCTTGGAGGCATCAACTTCAATTAGAACCCTTGCGAAATTTGATCTAGCCTTTTCAAGTGTTACTCTATCCGTAGTGATGGGGATACCCACTTTAGAAGCCACCTCACTTATAATATCCTCCTCCCAAATCCTCATAGGAAGATGGGGGAAATGTACCCAAATAGGAACCTTGAGAAACTCCTCATCATTCATAGTAAAGTCATCCGAGAGCAACTTAAGATGAAAAATTTTTCCAAACAAAGTGTACGGCCCTTCCAAAAGAACTGATTTATGTTCATTTATTAAAGGAAACTTTTGTACTTTACAAGAAAACACTTTTTTTACCAAATACTCCAACATTTACATTTTAATTAAAATCACTTCTACTTCCAAACACTAAATAGTTTTACTATTAATTACTTTTTCAGTAATCTATTAAAAATCACTTCTGAAAAACACGAGCAAATGTAAACACCTCTTAAGGGGTGTTTGGAACTGATTCTGCTTCCGCTTCTTTTTTAAAGCAGAAGCAGAATCAGAATCAGTTTTGAGAAGCTGGTACCCCTCAACTTCTAAAAAAAACTGATTTTGAGAGTAAATTAGAGCACCTCAAATGTTTCTGGAATTTCACCCAAACACTCCGACTTTAGTCCCTTTCCAGGTACACATGTTTTTGTAGGGGTAGATTCGGTATTGGATCTGTTCCTCTTTTTATTCCCGTACCTATGGAGAGACTCAAAACATCCTTGCACGGAGTGTCTAGCCCTGAGAAATGGAACACTCGACGGCAGCTGATCTGGTTAACTTCTTGAACGCTTCTCCGACAGCTTTTCATGCCGTGGGTATTATTTCTCATTCTCGCTCTAATACTCTTTTGAATTCATATCATTTCAATATCCTCGGTATGTATTGTTGATTTTCCCGTTTTTCGTCATTGCATATTTTCTTTTTATTTCAGACGAAGCAAAGAAGAGGTTGAAGAGTGCAGGGTATCAACAATTATCAGAGAGAGAAGACTGGGATTTGAAAGCCGGCAACAAGTATTTCTTCACTAGGAACCACTCTACCATCGTTGCCTTTGCCATTGGACAAAAGTAAGAATTGAGTGTCCAATTTTATACCAGCGTTTTTTTGTTTGGAGTTTATTGATTTGATGATCATTTGATGTTAAATCGCTTTAGAAGTTGCCACTATTTTCTGCAAATTGTAGGTTGGTTATATTTGATGTTAGATATTATTGACTTTTGTTGTAGATATGTAGCTGGAAATGGATTCTACATTATTGGAGCCCATACAGATAGCCCTTGCCTGAAACTAAAGCCAGTTACAAAGGTAATATATATTTGTATGTAAGGGTGTGGAAAAATTATCTCTATTAATGGTGTCTTCAGGTATCTAAAGGTGGTTATCTAGAAGTTGGTGTACAAACATATGGAGGCGGTCTCTGGCACACGTGGTTCGATCGCGATTTATCTGTTGCTGGGAGGATAATAATAAGAGAAAAGAAAGATGGATCTGAGGCATATTTACACCGCCTTGTTAGAATTCAGGAGCCTATAATGAGGATCCCAACTTTAGCAATACACTTAGATAGGTAAATATGTTGGCATATAAATACCCTGCAGTTGTTTATTTTACTCAACACTTTTAGATACCGCTACCAATACGTAATTGTTTAATAGCTTATCTGAGTTTTGATATGTTTTTCGTAAATAATTTATTCCGGTTAAAAAATTGATCTTTTTTTGTTTTTTGTTTTTTGGGATGTTACATAAGATAAGGCAGGAACTCAGTTTATGTTAAAATGTTGTGCTGGGAACATGAAATGTTCACCAAAGCTTTTTATTCTCACACCCTCTTTTAGTTCCATCAACAATCTCCCTTGAAAATGTGTCTGTACTGTTTTCTGGTTTGACAGGGGAGTAAATGACGGATTTAAAGTTAACACACAGAGCCATCTTCTTCCAATTCTGGCTACATCTATTAAGGTTTTTTTTTGGATTTCTATAGTATTTTAATTGATAAAAATATTAATAATTGAACTATTCCTAGTATTAAGGTTATTCTTAAGCAGCAAAGCATTGACTTCATTAAACTGAACTCTTTTCTTTTTCATCTTTTATTAATTGATCCATATAAAATTATCTTCGCACAGGCAGAGCTCAATAAATCTGATGGTGATTCAGTTGAAAATGGGGCCTCAGGTGAAAAGAAAAACAGTGGTACAAATAAACATCATCCTCTGCTTCTACAGGTAATAAAACTATGTTCTTCTTATGTGTACTATCCTTTCCCTTTTCGTAAAGTTTCGCCTAATGCACATTGTTGTGAGAGCCTAGAGGCTTATCTTGGTTTATGAGTTCCAGAGAAGTTTACCTTACTAGATCTAATGTTTTGGCAGCTTCTTGCCACTCAAGCTGGATGTGAACCCGGTGATATATGTGATTTTGAGTTGCAAGCATGTGACACTCAACCAAGTCTTATCGGTGGTGCTATGAAAGAATTTGTGTTTTCTGGAAGACTTGATAATCTTTGCATGTCATTTTGCTCTCTAAAGGTAACACTAACATTTTCACAGTAATAAATAATTTTGCCAGTAGAAGATTTCAAGCATAAGATTATTCTAATTGAAAAGTGGGCACAGTACAAGTGATTACATTAGATAATTTGGTGTGATTTGAAGTGTTGAGTATTCAAATAATTTTGCTAGTAGAAGATTTCAAGCATAAGATTATTCTAATTGAAAAGTGGGCACAGTACAAGTGATTACATTAGATAATTTGGTGTGATTTGAAGTCTTGAGTATTCTCATTAATGTCAGTAATTAGCAAAAGTACTACTGATTGATTAGCATCACAGCCCATATGAAACTAATGTCACTGATGTGTGCATCTTTTACATTAAATGTACTATAATGTGCTGCAACTTTTCTGTCTGAGTATTGGACATGCATACAAAAAAATCTTTTGTTGTTGATTACTGTGATAATGTTTTAAACAAAAAATGTTAATTGGCCAAACATTTTTTGTTCCATACTGTGCTTTACCTTTTGCAATCAGATTTATTTTTTTACTTCAATTTTTACTGAAGTCTTTATAATTTCCATTGCAAGTTTTCAAAACTTCTAAATTTGTCCTTGGCTGTCCGGTCTTCACGGAAAGAGCCTCTCTGTTTGTGAGGGTATAGCTAAGGTCTTTATACCTCATCCTCCCCGATTTTTTTTGTAACCAGCTTAATCTTGAATTTTGAAAGTTGATTTCCTAGTCCAATCTGAATCAATCAGGGAAATAAAAGCGTTTTGGTAAATAATCTCTAGCATATGCTCTGTGAAAGTGCGCTTACACATTAAAGTAGAAAAATAGAGAATAACTCATTCAAAGGATCTCCAATTGACTGAAATATAGAGGGAAATGATATATTTTATTATTTTATAAATATAAAAAACATGCCGTGGTATTTTTTCCGTGATGGATTTTTACCACTTTGGTCTCTCTTCAGGCATTGATAGATGCAACCACTTCTGGGAACAGTCTACAGGATGAGACGGGGGTAAGAGTGGTTGCCTTGTTTGATCATGAAGAGGTCGGGTCCAATTCAGCACAAGGGGCCGGATCCCCTGTCATGTTAGACACCCTCTCTCGAATTACAAGTTCCTTTGACCCTGACTCGAAGGTAATGGAAAGTGCTTTAGATTCTAGATGAAACATACAGCCGTAAGGTTCTTATTTATTCACTAATTTTCTTCAATATTACAATTTTAAATTTGACCTTTTGCCTTTTGTTTAAATTTTTAAATATTACAAATAACGTATTTGTTGGCCTTGTTGGATTTACTTCCATATCATATGTAGCATTTGCACATAATCCCTTTTTGCTTAATAACAAAATGGTACAAGAAACAAATTCCTGGTTACTTCATTGGCTCCACATGGCATAATTTTAATGAATCAGGCAATAAAAAGCAGATTCTTAGGCATAAAGAAAACCTTACAAATAACCCTGTCAAATTTACCATTCTTTCCTATGTTGCTGCTTGCCTTGCAGCATAATGTATTTATTTTTGAGAGATTTTGTCAATCATATCTAAGGTACTTAGCAGTTCTCTTGTTACTATTACTATATTCAGTTAATCACAAAAGCAATCCAGAAGAGTCTTCTAGTATCTGCTGACATGGCACATGCTTTGCATCCCAATTATATGGTAAATTAATTAATGCTTTAGCTCTGTTTATTTTTAGTTATGAAATACTAGTCTTTGTAGTGTTTTGAATTGTTTACCCATTTTCTTTCTTAGGATAAGCATGAAGATAACCATCAACCAAAAATACATGGCGGGCTTGTGATCAAGCATAATGCAAATCAACGGTATGCAACCAATGCTGTCACTTCCTTCATATTCAGGGAGATAGCTGCCCAGCACAATCTTCCCATTCAGGTGTGTCATCGAGTATGCTGTCTATTTAAAAAAGCACTTGTGAAAAAGAATTATTTCATCACAAAAAATTCCTAGATTAAATTGATTGAAGCCTACATTTGTCCATTAAATGACAATAAAAAACTGCTGCATTGTCCTGCCTTATACAATTTAATCTGTGGCTCATGGGCTTTAAACAACCAACTCCCTCAATTCCCATAAAAGAGCCCTATCAAAAATTATTCTCTTAAAAAAGGCTTATTTCTCCTAACAACAGAAAACATGCCCTTGTTCTGGTTTTGATAATATAGACTTGGTTCGTTGATTATATTGGTGACTTTGAGTTGCTCTACTACTCTCTGCACAGGATTTTGTGGTTCGCAACGATGTACCATGCGGTTCAACCATTGGGCCCATATTGGCAAGCGGGGTAGGGATTCGAACTGTGGATGTTGGGGCTCCACAGTTGTCCATGCACAGTATTAGAGAGGTATGTGGTGTGGATGATGTGGATCACTCGTACCAGCACTTCAAAGTCTTTCTCCAAGAAGCCTCTCTTCTTGATGCTAAACTCAATGTGGATATGGAATGACATTAATTTGTGTATGTGTTGGAATTTCTTAATGTTTGAGCAACTTGCCTTGCCGGGCTGCCGGCCCCTACTCTAAAGCTACATTGTATGGTAGCAACAGCAAAGCTAACATAGCGATCTGATGAGTTTTCTTGGTACTTGAACCTCTCTTGATTACTTTCTCAAATGACATTTGAATTGTGTTTTGAATCATTTAATGACAATGAAGAAGGAAATGTAACATTGCAGATGGTTGTTTGATTTGAACAATCCTTCACTAATACTGAATAGCGAAAATTGTATTTGGATAAATCATGGGACAAAAAATTCACAACAGGATATGTGCCAAATGTGATTACCATTCATGTGGTCTTAACACGTTAGATTCTGAAGTGTTAGAAAAGCATAATAATTATATTAACTGGAACTACATTTGTAAAGTATGTTTTTGACATTCCTATGATAGGTGGCTTTGTGTGTGTGATTGTGATAAACCTGAAGGGGAAGTTCCAAAATTTGGTGACTTTGTCTGGTAATTGTGATAAACCAGAAGGAAAGTTTACCAAATTTCTATCTTATGAGGAGATGTGCTTTAGGTGGTTAGATCTCCAAGTGTTATTAAGAAGTAGACGTAGTGTGAAGCTCCACGATTACATGTTGTTCAAGTTTGGCAAACAGTAAGATAAACATTATGAACTATGCTTCGAAATTCAGGTAATCACATCCTTTCACATTTTTTTTGTCATTAAAATTAATTAATCATTAATAAACATTAAACATATTCCTATCACCTTTGACACCATGTCTTTTGTCTCTTAAAATCACGTGGACTAGGCTGACTAGCAGTGAAATGAATGGAATGTAGCGATGAGAAGACAGTGTCGACTTTTGCATCTCATGGTGCAGTAGGCTTTGAGAAGAAGTCACCTTTGCTCTTAGTGCCTTCTACCATGACGAGGTAAACTCGCTCCCCCTTGATCCTCAAAATCAACTTGCATCACTGCATCGTCCGATGCTGTAATGGGAGTAGATGGATCGTTATCAAGGTCAGACACATCGCCGTCGTTGAATGGGTGGGAGCGGGACAGGATGCCAAGAGATCATAAGCGATGAAGTGAAGGGTTTTTTGGGCGAAGCTTTGAGCCGATTGTGGATGAAGATGGACTTCTGCCCAGGTTTCTGGTGGGAGATTTTGCTCCCTTAGTTTGCTTCTTTACGGCCATATGCCAATTCTTCAAAGCCGTGGATGCATAAGGGGTAGCGTACTGTAGCCGCATAAGAATAAGGCTCCCACCCCCAAGGCCATTTTCACAATGACCAGCTGAAAACTTTCATGGAAGCAGTTGTGCACTCCATATTCATACCATATCCACAAGTATGTTATTTGGAATGCATTCTGAAATAAGGCGAAATAAATGAGGCCGACTGAACCAAAAGTATTTGTCTGAGCCTTTACACAAGAGGGATTCCTTGAACTAGTCATGGACCCGGTTCGGGCCGCCCGGCCCGCCACTGTGCGGGCCCGGAACCGGCCCGGTGGGGGGAGGGCGGGTCCGGGCTCGGGCCTTGTATTTGGCGAACCGGCCCGGCCAGGTCGGGCCCGGGCCGAATTGATTTTTTTTTTTCATTTTTTGGGGTTAGCCGGGTTGGGCTTGATGGTTAGGAGGGGTTTGGGGGGGGTGAGTGGGGGGGGGGGGGTTAGGAAAGCAAAAAAAAAAAATTATGACCGAACCGGAGGCCCGGCCCGGACCCGGTGGCTACCCGGGCCGGTCCCGGGCCTTCCTTCCCAAAAAAAAAAGCCCGGAACCGGCCCGGAACCGGCCCGGCCCGGAACTGGCCCGGCCCGGGTCCATGACTACCTTGAACTACTGCATGCCTTTCTGTGATTTCAAGCACCACTAGATTCTTCACCCGTGCGATGCACGGAACAAAATTTAGTCAAATGATATCATATTATTCATTTATAATAATTATACCATAAAAATTTCATTGAGTTATATTTTGTAAATGATTACAAACAGAATAGAGTTAGTATACTTTAAATAAGTTAATTAAGAGGAGTTAGTGTTTACATTATTCTCAAAATAGGAAAAATCATACTTCATCTATCAATAAAAAGTAACCGCGACAATTAAGGGACAAAGAGAGGAAATATTATAATGAGGGAGCAAACTACAACTTTTTAAAGACTCCTTTTGTAAACAACATTAGTAATTTATTTATCATTCTTATCACTTCCAATATAAAATTCATCATGAGAAGAGCATAGATTTAATATACTTAAAAAAATTAATTAGGAAGAGGTGGAATTAATGTTTACATTGCTCTTGTAATAGAAAAAAAATATAAATTTAATAATGAGCGAGCAAGTTACACTTTTTGAAACTTTTTTTGTAAACAACATTTGTTATTTGTTCATCATTCTCATCACCAAACAATATTTTCAAACATTTACTATTTCTACCTCTTGACACTGCAATGTAAAATTGATCATGCCTAAAGTTAGGGATGGCCTGGTTCCGGTCTGACTGGCCCGGGAACAGGACCGCACCGCCACTGTGCAGGACTGGACCTGCCCAGTGAACCGGTTCCGGACCTAGGACCAGCCTGGGGTTTTTTGGGAGCGGTTCCGAGATTGGGGAAATATGGCCCGGACAGAGATTTGGAACCCAAACACCTCAAAAAAACTCCCACCGTAATATTCCCAAACAGAGATTTGGAACCCAAACACCTCAAATAAGTTACATTCTTTCGCTACTTTAGTGAAACCCAAAATCATATATGTAATTTACACTTTGTTTAATTACCTAAAAGATGATAAAATGCTCATTTTAGCCCACTATATGATCGAGATACTTCAAAATTTGTTGATATGCTTATGAAATGATATCCTCTTATGTTTAAAAAAACACGGACATGAGTCAGAAGAGTGTAACTTTAACCTCAAGTGCTTATTATTTATATATCAATTCACCTTATACATCAATTCACCTCATAAAAAACTTTCACCTCATTTAATTTCCCACCTTTAGCCACCTGCTATTGTTTATACCTAAATGTTTAAACAATATATTAAACACAACTTTTTTACTTCAACAAAACCTAGTGATAGCAAAAACAAATACAACAAACAATCTTATAATAGAGCAAAGTCATCATTCAAACAAATGCTAAGAAATCTTATAAACTGCTATATGACTATACCTACATGTTTTACATACACATTGAAAATAAATTATAGAACCACCTTAACCTTTATACCCCAAGATTTCAACAATTAGACAAACAAATACAGAGTACTAATTTTTCAATATGAAACCAACGGTGTCAAAGAAATTTGTTGAAGAAGCTGCTACTTCATTCTGGACCAACTCCATTGTGGCATCAAACTGGTCCACAACACTAATAAAATAGGTTACCAAGAGTATTCGTTCTGGATTGCATATTTACTTGAATCAATCCAAACAAAATTTATCTGAAAAAACTTTATAATTAATTTTTTTTTAGTAAAAATCAAAACTGGATGTGTGAAATAATATGTCCAAAACATAATATATTTGGAAAACCTCTAAGTTACATTTCACATTGTCAAACCTGTAAACTCGCTGAAACAATTAAAAGCATTAACTGAGCTCTTCATGGACATTAATCACATTATTACAAACATATCAGCATTGAGTTTGAAGATGAGATTAACCTATACCTAAAGATGATTTTTTAAACACCAAGTATATACTAAAAAAACTACAGTTATGCCTAGTACGAAGTATATTCTAGCCGTACCTTGACACCAAAATTGGGGGGGGGGGGGGGGGGGGACTTTATCCGTCTTTTTCTTCCTTTCGCAAGCCGCAAAACCAGAGCCTAGAGACGTAAAGGTTGCCAGTCCTCCACTCGCCTCGCAGGCTGCCTGGACTCACCTTGCCGGTTTCCCCTTCACGGCTCCGCCGCAATAAGTTTGGCGTCATCACTCCGCTGGCCACCGTCACTGAAAAGGAAAGCTCCAGGTCCGCCGTCCTCGTCCGCAAGATCGGAAAATTTGTTACAGAGGCACTTGGTCGGCTGGTCGCGAACAGTCTCAATCGGGCACTGCTGTCACCACCGTCTATGGTCCTTCCTGATGTCGCTACCATGGCTGCTGCTAGCGATGAATCCTCTGATGCTCTGCCCCTCCCAGCCAAATCGATGACATCCTCTTAAGCTGTGTGGGTATACGCAGTATAGTTTTGATTTTTTCTGTATGGAAAACCAAGTGATCGGTCAACAGGGGTGACTCTGAGATCATGACAACTCTCTGACAAATTGTTGGCCATGGTAATACTCCGTACTAAATCATCTTGGGCATTGTTTCAGACCTCCAAATAGAAGACCCGAGCCGGTGTTAACCCCAGCCCAATACATCACTTTTTGGCCCATTGTTATCCATGATGGTGACATTTTTGGGCGGGAAACTCACCAAAATTTCCACCTCTTTTTATATAGAGATAGATTTCTGTCAAAATAGCCCGAAGCTTTGTGCCAACAGCTAAAATAATGATTAGAGGAATCACAGATGCCCAAAACGATGCCCTCCAACCAAAATAATGATTAGGAGTAAGAAAATCACAAAGGATGCCCAAAGCACTGGACGGACTCCCACGACCACCTTGAAGTCATCCTCTAAGGACCTTTTAATGTACTTTTGGAAGTTAAATTTACTTCCAGGGGCTAAATGAACACTGATAAAGCCATCGCACAGGGTCATTGTTGAAGCATTTGTCCCACACCGGAAAGCTATAAAACAATTAAACACTATATAAGACTTTGGGCTACTCCTCCTATCAGGTTGACCTTTTAGGATGGAACCCCGAGTCTTAACATGGTATCAGAGCCAATTCCGGTTGTGGTTTGACGGCTTGTTTGGCACCCATTATTAAGGGTAGCTTGTTAAGGGTTTGTTTGGCCCGTTTATACACCCCGGTATTGTCCAGCCCGGTTCGGGCTGAGGGGGCGTGTTGAAGCATTTGTCCCACACCGGAAAGCTATAAAACAATTAAACACTATATAAGACTTTGGGCTACTCCTCCTATCAGGTTGACCTTTTAGGATGGAACCCCGAGTCTTAACAGTCATATAGTCAGACGTGCTTACTGATCTAAAGAATTGTCTGAAAAAGCGCCCAATATAAAAGAATATAGGAATCCTAGTCCAGAAACTCGTGTCAGCTCTCACAAAAGATGTCTCATGAGTAAGTCTGAATCTTGAAGGATCATTTGAGAATTCATAATTATGAGATGAAGTTTCTTTCTCCCATTGTTTCCATCCACGAATCTTTAG